CGCCGAAACGTCAGCCGAATAAAAACTTCTTAACAATCATGGTGTCGAGCTAAATCAATCTCCTGACTATAATTGCAGTTATAGAATCGTTCTACAATTTGGATAGCACATGAAGTGAGTATCCGAAGGGTTGCATCCAAGGGTATATATCGTTTCCACTTTGAATTCACCACTTTTCCAACCAAATTCACCTTTTTTCAAATCAAACTATAACGGAACAAATAAATCAGGCAGGGTTTGTTTTAAATGACCAGTAATATACCCTAGCCGTGTATGCCGAGACTATGCTGCCGATTTGCACCATTTTTGAGAACTGGGCGGGGTTATTCCGAAGTGGGCGGAGCCTCACAGCGGGCGGGGCTGCATGTAGCAGATCCAAAAATGCAGAAATTTTGAAAAAATATCGAAATTCCGCAAAAAGCAAGTGGGCGTGGCCAAGGGCGGAGCCTAAATTGCCAGTGCATAAATGCGCGGGTACGAGTATCTTCGTTGTGCAAAGAGTGGATGTGAAATTAAAAAGTTGAAAAAGTTGTGAAATTTCGAAGTTCGCAACAAACCCTTTGAAGAATGGGCGGAGTCCATGTGTCGATGTGTTGAAAATCTATGTCCGCGCTGACAAGTAGGCGTGGCCGTCGGGGCGGGGCTCGCAGTGGTGTCTGGCGTGATCTGGTTGGTGAACTGCCCGGTCTAAAAAGAGTGGTGAATTTGATTTGAAAAGTGGTGAATTTGGTTTGAAAAGTGGTGAATTTGGTTTGAAAAGTGGTGAATTTGAAGTGAAAATGGTATAAATCACTTTGCAGATCCTTATTTCGACCAGGGTCCGTCCCTGGTTAGATCAAAGTCAGGAGTTTAAACTTGACATGTTCTTGTATATGCTGTGCAGAATACGCGACATGGTACATATGTGGATACATTCTAGGTGATCAATCCTGAGCAAAGGGAGCCAACACCGTTGTCCGTTACTGAGCATGGACGCGTAACGCCGCCACATCACTTCACCAGCTCCACTCAAGAACTTTACCATGTACGTCACTTTTCTTTGTGTTCCCCTGTTAGGTTTTGTAAGGATTATTTTGATTCTGGTTCGACATCATCGATAATATTTGTTGCTTGTGGCTTCTCCTAACCTCTGTTTTCGAGCTTGTGTGCTTTGTCTAACACTAGTATATTCACATTGCAATGATGCTGTGCTTTGGGTTAGTTAGATAGTGTCTTTTTTCTCTTAGCTGACCACCACGTGCTCACTTCCGTCTGCTTCTGTTGCTGCTACGTCAGAAGATGAGTCACCATCACCGGAACGAAGGCTAGGGTTGATTATGGAATCCAATGGTACAACATCACATTTGTTGCCCTCAAACACGGTACCAGATTTGACGCAGCGACTACGTGCCATGGACAGTCTGGCAGTTTTCAAGAATTTGGAAAGCGCACTGTCGTGCACGCTCGGAACGTCGAGCATGCGACCAAGCGTCTGTCGCGACGACGCTTCGACGCACCGTGACGATGCATCGAGTATGTGCGATAGTGGTGCTATGTTTCACGTCGGTACACCGCCTATCTTCAGTCCAGTGCCATCTTCGGAATCGGATTTTGAATGCCAGGTCCTCATTTATTTTATTAATTTCATATTTAAAATATTTATTTATGTGTTGGCTGTAACCAACCATTTCATCGATGTTCTTTCTTGATACATATAATAAGCAATGAAACTCAGGGTTTCCCTTTCAGTACTTACGAAGATCCGCACAATCGGAAATGTTTTTCGCTCTACGTCCACCTAGCTTTCTAGTCCATGTTTTGTTCAAATTCCGTCTTACCTATGTTGCTTTATGCCAGGCCTTTCAACCTTTCAATATAAGCGGAGTATGTAAGGCTGCGTTCATGCTTCGCAGCAGCGTCCACCAGTCACCAGCAGCGTTTCGAGCGTCAACGAGAGCGACTAGCAAGATATAGATATGATCCAGCAAACGTCGGAGTCCACCACATTCCAAGAGTAGGGAGTGTGGGGAAGTGGGAGAGTAGCAGACTGCTTTATGAGGATGTAGGAGGAAGCAGACAACTCGATTAGGCCTCGTGAATTGCGGCGTGTGTAACCGCACCGTACCACTACACAACATTAAATTGTATTGTGCTGACTTAGCAGTTGTACGGTGCGGTTGCACACGCCGCTGTTTTATGTCGCTTACCCAGCTGTCTGCTTCCTCCTATTTCCCCATACTCTACCAACAGTCTGCTACCCTCCTGCTTCCCCGTCCTCTCTACTCCTGGACGCTGTTAGACGCTGCCGTTTGCTAGATTAATCTCTGCACTTCCTTAGTCCCTCGAGATGCTGGTGGGCGCCTGTGGACGCTCCCGCAAAGTACGTACGCCTAAATTCGCCTTTTTCGGCTGCATGGAAGAACTGGATGGCTAAGCCTTGCATTTTGCTAATTTTTTTTCACGACGTGCTGAGAGGTGTAGCGCTTGAAAAGTCTGTTCTCACTCTAAACTAGAGAAACCATTCTCCACCTTCCTGAGTCTGCGTGAGAACAAGATTTGTTCTTTCAGGCGGAAGATGAAGATGATGATGATCCAGAGATTCTAGCCCTCATTCGAAGGTACAGTATGCAATTTGATTATTATTATTATTATTATTATTATTATTATTATTATTATTATTATTATTATTATTATTATTATTATTATTATTATTATTATTATTATTATTATTATTATTAATTATTATTATGGAGTGGATTTCGCTGCGGACGGTTGGGCGTGTCAGGCGGGATGAGTTGGCGCGGTGCCAAACCCGTTCTCCACCAGTTGTTAAAGCGAGCAAGTGATATGACTGTATCATATCGTTCGTATTACTCGTTTTCCACTTTTTGTCGCATGCGCGCTTCAACAAGAAGCACAGAACGGCTTTGACGGCGTGCACACCCAACTGCCTGCCCGCCCCACCGTCCGCAGCGTACCAGAGTGTATATATCAGTGGGTTTTATCTACATTCAGACATCGCATGCAACAACTTCACCTTCGCGAACAACAGCGACTCGAACTTGAAGAGCTCCGTGCTCGTCAGCGTCAACAACGTATGACTAGAGCCGCGACTGCAGCACCAGAGGGGTCTTGTGGTGATGCCATGTCACAGAGCCTGCATGGCAATCATCATCATTATCATCGCCACCAGCCTTCTACATTGTCGTTGCCAGCCAGTCCACCACCAACCATGTCAAATAACACTGAGGCCAGTTTCACTAGAAAAGAATTTGCCATAGTTTTTTTTTTCGAGGACCTGTACTTGCACCACTGACTTAGCTCTCATTTATGGTGAAGGAGCCAGTGATACTGCGTTCATACTTTGCGGCAGCGTTCACTAGCGACCACCATGCCAGTTTTTCGAGCGTCCGTCTGCGCCAGCGGCTGGGAGAGTATAGATATTGATCTAGCGAACGGCAGCGTCTACCACCGTCCACCAGTGTCCATTATTCTGGGAAATATGGGAAAGGAGGAGTGTATCGTACTTGGGCGTCGTAAGTCTGTCCGTGTGCAGCCGCGCCGTACAACTGCTAAACACAGAAGTTATGTGATTTAATGTACGGTGTTAGTAATACGGTACAGTTGCACACGTCGCAATTTCACCGCGCCTAATCCAGCTGTATGCTCTGCTCCCACCTACTTCACCGTGTTCTACCAACAGTGTGCTCCACCTACTTCCTCGTACTGTCTACTCCTGGATGCTGACAGAAGCTGGTGGACGTTGCCGCAAAGTATAAACCCAGCTTTAGTGAAAGAATTTGTTGGGTATGGGAAGTTTTGAATGGATCACTGGAGGTCGGGCTGTTGAGTACGAGAAATTTAAAATGGATTTCTGGACGGATCCTGCGGTTTATGACGGCTGGTGCGCATTTCCCATACGCCGATTTCGATTATGGATTCTGCGCCGCCATGTGCGGATGCAGCCTTGGCTAACTTTCATCGGCGCGAAACGCAAGTGTTATGTCTGCGGTTTAAAAGCCTCGGTTCGCATGCTCACATATATTTTGATTGTAAAGGAAGGGCACCAAATTGGCGCCATATGGCGCTTGCGCTATAGCTGTCATAACCGCGATTGAGGCACTATATGGCATTTGAGGATGTCTTTAGTGAATCATTCTGTGTGCTATACAGTCGTCATCCGGGCAGTTGATTAGGCGGTCAAAGGGTCGCAGACGCGGCTGCGGCGCGTCACGACCGCGGCGATCAGCTGTTTCCAGCCTATTTAGCCATTTTCTCCCTAATTTTCACTGTTTTTGGCTGCTTTTCTTGAGGTTAGTTGTTCCTTGTCTTCACAAGGTAAATTATGATTGAGATTTCTCTAATTTTTGCGAACAATTAAATAATTGAACAAACAATTGGACAAATACCTGAAAAAATCGCAAAAACACTTCTATTACAAAAACAAAAAAGGAATCCTCGTCTAATATACTTCATAAAGTCAAAAAACAACTTACTTACTAGGGAAGGTCGTCAGGTCGAAGTGGCCATTTGTAATGAGATGTAGCTCACTAGACGTGGTTTTGGACGCTGATCTCGAATCTGCCTTTGAAATTTGCAAAGCGATTCTCTGAAAGGAATTATGATGGCTTGTTAGAATTAAAATGAAGGAAAACGGAGTCGAGCGCGGTTGCCAGCCAGTTCGCATGAATAGCCGGGAAGAACCCTTACGTTCAACGGCGGCATGGTGTAGTGGTAATGGTCTTGCTTCGCGGGCATGCCATGAAGGTTCGAATTTCTGGAAGGGAACTTCTTTTGCATTTTGTGGGGAATGTCTCTTTTAAGTCTAGAAAACACTCAAACGCCAAATGGGTGCCATATTCGTGTTCAGGGAGCAAAACTACCCTTGGGACAGGTTTCTAGCCAGATGTGAGGTTTTGACCTAACTTTGAAAAGTGCGGTAGCAGTTGATCGAATGATGGTCACCAATAGTTCCAGGGCCAGTCTCTTGTCGATTGCTTGTCTTTGGACGGAATTTGCTTTTAGATACCAGGAAAACTGGAGCAGTAACAAAATGAATGCGTAAGAAGTGGGGCTTTGTGCAGGAGAATGTATCTGCAGCTGAATAGGTGTGAACATCAACTGAACTAACCCATGGATGCTTCACTTTTCGAAGTCAGGTCAAAATGGCAGATTTGGCTAGAAACCTCTACCTAGGCGTAGTTCGCCCCATAAATACGAATATGGCACTCGCTCAGCGCGAAAACGCCTGCACTGCGCGCCAAGGGCACCTGTACATCCATTCTCCTAGATCATAAGGCACTAAGCGCGCCAGTAAGCGAACGCAAACTGTTTTTCAGGCAAGTCAAGGAGAGCGCTAATGTAGAAGCGACGCCACAACCACTTTTTGCCACGTTTGCGCTGGAAGCAAAAAAGTTAAGCTCAGCAGGGATCCGATCCCATGACCTGTTGCGTGGTAAACGCGGCGGCTCCATAACTCCGTTCAGAGAATCGCTTTGCAAATTTCAAAGGCAGATTCGAGATCAGCGTCCAAAACCACGTCTAGTGAGCTACATCTCATTACAAATGGCCACTTCGACCTGACGACCTTCCCTAGTTAGAAGAAAATAAATAATAAGTGAAAATTAAGCAGAAAATGGCTAAATAGGCTGGAAACAGCTGATCGCCGCGGTCGTGACGCGCCGCAGCCGCGTCTGCGACCCTATGACCGCCTCATCAACTGCCCGGATGACAACTATACATGTAGAGGGCATGATGGGTTCCTGATGGCTGCATTTTATAAAATCCTTCACTTCGTGTGAAACGTTATTTCAAATTCTTTCGGCAGTTTCGCTGTTGTGCCTACCAGCTCTGACATTTACAGAGGCCATCACCTCGTCGATTGGATTGTTCTACACTGGCTTCGCAGTTGCTGGCAATTCATGGCTCGTCGTCGTCTTCGACACCGGCATCCGGCTCTTCAACAACAACTGGTGATGCTTCATCCCAGGCCAATATTGTCTTTGATGGTCCTAATCGTCAAAGGGACAATTATTCGGCACCACCCCCACATAGCTGAATCGCGCGCGTGATATAGT